AGATTGTGAATATATTTCTATATCGTATGGATTACAAAAAACCTCACATAATATCAACCAAATATACTTTTAATTTCGTGTTTTACATCAAATTAATATCTTATTTNGTTATTTTTTTTTTTACAGCTTGGTTTTATATTTTATTTAAATACTAGGTGACCCGGTAATGCTTTGATAGTGTAAATAAATAAATAATAATATTAATGATATTAATTTATCTTCTTTGTTACACCCGTGGTATTAGGTAGACATAGGTACTTTGTAACCAGGGTCCCAGGACATGGTATGATTTCATTAGTGCATTGTATATTATTTTACTTTAGTTTTCTTTTATAATTGATCTAATTCGTTTAAATGCATAAGATAGTTTCCTTTTTTTTTTTTTTGGTAGTCAGTTAATTTAATAAATTATGAAACATTTCCATTCCTATATATTTGACATTGAAATTAATTTTTAATATATTATTGTAGTAGGTTATCAATGGTTATCATTAGTTTATCAATCGGTTGAATGTTATAAAATGTGAGTAACATTTGGAAATTTTTTGTTTATTATTTAATGTGGTAAAATAAATGTTTTTTTCTATATTTGAATATAAAGTATTTTTTAAAAGCCACACTCGTATATATTTAATATTGATTTTGTGAAAAACTCTCAAGTTTCACCTTTTACGAGTAGGACCGTGACATCTGCATGGTAAACGATTTTTCTATTTAGCGTTAGTGATGTGATGTCGTTTTTATTATATTGTTTGTTTATTATATAGTGCAGTAACTTAAGAGTATCAATCTTCTCTAGTGCCAAATGTTTTATTCCGATTTTTATGAAAAGCTTTTAACAGATCTAAATATATTGGAGCCTAATTTTTATTTTGGTCTAGTGCTGTATAAATTGAAGCAGTTGAATTGATCTGGTAGTTTGGATATATTTAATAATTTTAATATTACGTGTACTATAGATGGTAATGTTGTGAGTTTTGTTGTCATTTAATGCATTACCTAATGCAGAATTAGAACCGTTCTTATTATATGCATAACATAATAATAATAATAATAATAATAATATAATAAATCACCAAATCAATCTGTCAAAATGACCTACTATTCCCATAATCCCATCACTTATACAAGTCACTGTAGGTTATAATATAGTGAACCAACAACAGGTTATAGGTGAATTAAGAGAATAATTAGAAGAAGAGAGTGGAAATGGATGTGATTAAGTTGGTCATCAGAGTGTAAACTCAAGAAAACGTTTGGTAAAGAAAAATATATTTCCAAACTTAAGAAATATTGGAAAATTCAACAGCAAAAAATGTTGTTGGCAAAAATGAAGAGGCGGTTTTATTTCATTAAGAGAAAATATGGAGTCTACTGAGAAGCTAAGTGAAAGTTTTTGGTATCATTGATTCTGGTTGTTCAGATCACTTGGTGATTTAAGAAAAATATTTCTCTCTTTCATTAAGCAACTGTAAACTCCACTCAACATTCCAAAAATGAGGAAAATTTGGTTGCGACTAAAATAGGTACAATAATTTCTTATAGTAGAGTTAATGGTGAAAAAATTCTGTGCGAATTTGAAGGTGTATATTATGTTCTAACTTGAGGTACAACAATCAGTTGGTAAGATCGAACAGTTGAATTTTAAAGTTTTGTTTGAAGATGGTTTTGCACAAATTATTCAATCTAGTGGAAATGTAGTTTATGTGGTTCACAGAATGAAAACTCTGTGTGGTGTTACTTTCTCTCTAAAACCAAATGTTTATGCCAATAATTGCATTGATACACAAATTTATAAGAGTTTGTAACATAAAAGGATGGGGCATCCAAAAAAAAAAAATGTTTGTGGATGTTAATAGACATGGTTACTGGACTGGGGCTTAACAAAAATGATATACTGGTCTTCTGTCAAACAGATGTAGAAAGTAAACACTTAAGAAAACTCTTTCAATCAAGGTCTCTTTAGATGCGTTGTCCACAGAAAATTTTGTACAGTGATGTGTGTGGACCAATATCACCAACTGTTTGGAATCGTAAGAAATACTATCTTACCTTCACTGATGATTATACCCGTTTTTCAGTTGTTTATTAGAAAAAAAAAGTCAAGTATTTCAATGTTTCATAAATTTTGAAGCACCTTTTAATGTACATTTTGATTTAAAAGTATCCATGTTGAGATGAGATAATGGAGTATATAAGTAATGAATTGAAACGTTTTTGTTCAGTTAAAGGAATTGTTAAATATACTGTTCCGTATTCACTTAAACAAAATGGCCTAGTAGAAAGATTAAATAGATCATTGGTAGAAAAACAAGATCATAGCTGTTATAATCAAACTTGTCTAAAGAAATGTGGAGAGAGGCACTCACAACTGCTTACATGAGAAACCAACACATGCAAATCTAAAGATGACTCCTGTTAAGCTTTGGACTGAATGTAAGCCTAACTTATCTAATATTTGAATCTTCGGATGTGTTGCTTTCACACATATACTAGACAAATTGAGGAGTAAGTTAAATTCAAAAAAATTTATATTTGTTGGTTATACGAAAAATGCAAAAATAAATCAAAAGAATCTACACCTCGTTCAGGTGGATATGACTACGCATTTTTTTAAATGATATTTTAGAGAAAGTGCTTTACATGAAACAACCTGATGATTTTGATCAAGGAAATGATTTGGTTTGTAGACTACATTAGTCTCTTTATGGTCTAAAACAATCTTCAAATTGTTGGAACAAATGTTTTAATAATTTCAAATGTCAATAAGGTTTAAAAAAAGCAAAAAGCAAATCTTCGTAAATGAAATTAAATGGTGACAGTAATTTGTATTTGTTGAGATATATATATATATATGGATGATGTGCTTTTGGCTAGCAATTCTACAAAGGAAGAATACAATATAAGAAAACTACTTAGGGATGAATTCAAGCTGATGAATAAAGAGGATGCAAGATGTTTTATAGGAATTAAAATTAAATGTCATAAGAATATTTTAAAATTAAGTCAAACAGAATATCTAAAAAATCTACTACATAAATTTGGTATAAATGAATGTAAACCAGTATCAACGCCACATAAAAGAAATTACAATTTGAAGAAAAAGGATCAACAAATAAATCATATTGTAAACTTATGGGACGTTTGATGTATGTGATGAATCAAATTATGATAGATCTTAGTATAGTAGTCAATTATTTTAGTCGTCATCAATCTAAAGCTACTGAACATCATTTTAATTACTTGAAGATAGTGTTGAGATATATAAAAAGCACTATTTTCTTAGAATGACTTACACTAAGAGTAATAACATATATTTACTACAAGATATTGTTGATGCTGATGATGTTAATGACTGAAAATCCACATTTGGATACCTTTATCAAGTTTTTAGTTCCACAGTCAGTTGGTTCACTAGAAAACAATCAATTGTAGCTCTATTATAAACAGAAGCAGAATATTTAGCTTTGGCATTTACAGTTGAAGAAGGAATGTAGCTGAAAAACTTCTGTATGGGACATTATCTCAGACAAAGACTTCATATTCTTACATACATGAAGAATATCAATTTTGTATCAAAATAGCGAATGAACAAAAAAAACATTAACGACTGAAACATTTTTATACCTACTAAATATAATTTTTTTGTTCATGAAGTGAACAAATCATATTAAATTAGTATATGTTCAAATAAATCACCAACTTGCAGATATCGTAACAAACCATACCGACCATTTCTTTTTCAAGATTAAGGAATGCAATAGGTTTAAACCCAGGTTACACTATCAAATATTTAGCGTACGTCCAACTTCAAATACTTTAGAAACATTTCAAAAATATTTTGCATGTTTGTCAAATTTTGGATTACTATATTGATAACAAATTGTTATCATCGTATATCATGATTATGAAATATAATTTACAATATTTACTATTTACATATTTTATACAAAGGCATTGTCATTTGTAGTCTAATTGTAATGTTTATTTATTACCTTTACAAAATTTTAGATAAAATCAAATTAATTTTCAATGACACCGAAAAGAATAAAAGTAAGTATTGCTAGACTGAACGCTGAACAGATCGGTAGGTACCACTCTAAAAACTAGTGGTCACTAATTATTTTTTACATTAATTACATTTATGAATTTAGATTCTTGGGAGAATAAATAATTATATTATATAATATTATGTGAACGATAAACACGTATTCAAAATTAATTATTAATTCAAAAAAGGAGATGTCTTTAATTGTAATACACACACGACACACATCATAGTAAAACCAATAGATCCCTTGCTACGCTCCGAATATAATACTTACTAATGCGTACCTACTAGTTACTACATAACAATTTAAAATAGATACTAAAGTACTAATATAATTTCCTTCTTTACTTATTTTCTAACCTTGAACATTTATTTTTGAATAATTTCCTTAGTTTCCATAATTTATATTGTTTTATTATTTTTTCACGATCGTACCTCATGTAAGAATATGTTAATGATTAATGAGTTAGTATCTACTATCCATAGACTAAGATATATCTTAGTCCGTGCTACTACCATTAATTATGAATCAATAATCAATACTATTATCTATGCTGAAGCATCATAAACATACTGTGTCCTATCTATACTAATTATTGTACAAATTAAATTTGCGCGGGTTATATTTGATCAACTACTATAGTGTTTTAGTTGAGGATGATTTAATCGTCCGAACCATTTTTTAAACAAATTTTCAAAGTTCGCGGTTCGCCAAATATTTGATAAAATATTTTCGTGTGAACCGCTTTAGAATAATATTTAATAATCGTTTTTTTTTTTTTATTTTAAATACATTTGAGATTAAGAGAAAGTGTTATTGTATTGTCTACAATAAAATATAAAATATAGAAATTAGTTTTTTTTTTTTTTTAAATTATTAAAATGTAGTAAGTACCGCATGTGTATATTAATTAATGAAAAACTGAGGTGTTTTTATAGTCGACTCACAATGACGTCGAATTCGACACAATCGCAACGCTCGCCTAGCTGCAGTGTGTTGTCAAGCGACTACGTTGCACGTGACGGCGACTGCGTGCAGCGATCGGTTCGCAAACGCTCGGTGGTGCGCGTAATAGCACCGTCGTCCATCGATAAACAATCCAACGTGATGGCGTACCGGAAGTTCGTGTGTGATTCGCTGGGCATGGAGGCGCACATCTCAGACTCGATATTCCAGGAGGGCGCGGATCCGTTTTACGCGAACACCGACCGGTTCCGGGCGAACGACCTGATAGACGCGCTGACGGACGACAGCGCGGTGGTATGGTGCGCGCTCGGCGGTAAGGGAGCTTCCCGGCTGATACCCTATCTGGACGCGTTGCCGGCCGACCAGAAGCAGAAGATCACCGACGCCCGTGGGAAACTGTTTATTGGGTACAGCGACATCACGGCACTACACGTGTACCTGCACCTGGTGTACGGGTGGCAGACGATTCACGGGACCATGCTGAAGAACATCGTCGACGGCACCGTGGACCGGCGGTCCGTGGACGCGCTCGTCGCGCTGATGACCGGCCGGTCGGCCCGGGTCGAGTACGAGCTGCAGTCGATCGGCGGCGGCGCGGACCACGAGCGTGACGGAGAATCGGCTGCACCTCTGCCGTCGTCGCCAATACGGTCCAAAGTCGCGGGTGGTAACCTCACGCTGGTCGAGAACTCGATGGGTACGGCGCACAGTTTCAGCGGCGACGGAAAACTCGTTTTCTTGGAAGACATCGGCGTCCAGCCGTACTCTTTAGAACGGTCACTGGACCACTTGAAAGCGGCCGGCGTGTTCGTCGGCGCCGCGGCCAGCGTGTTCGGTTCGTTCAAAAACTCCGATCGCCCCGACTTGATCGCCCTGGTGCTTCGCAGGTTCGCAGCCACCGTGCCGTTCCCGGTATTCTGCGTCCGGGATATCGGGCACGGTTACGTCAACAATCCGTTACCGCTGAACACGAACGCCACCGTGTCGAGCCGAACAGCCGCCGACGGTCGAGTGTCGTACACGTTGACCGTCGACCACGTCTACACTTGATTGCTGGCTCGTCGATTTGTTAAGAGAGCGTCACAGTAACATTGGCTGTAGTATCTGTCTTATCGAACGGGCAATATCAGAGTTACTAGTGTTCAACCAAAGACGCTACTGTACAAGTGACTTTCTTATTTTATTTTGTAAAATATCAATTTTGATTATTTTTTTCACATATAATACCTACATTTTAGATTTTTAAAGGAAAAATTATGTATAAAATTTAAAACGCTATTATTTAGATACTTATTATTTCAAAATTTAATTCCGTTAGATTATTTTTAAAATCGTTATCGATTTACCAATTTTTAATTGTTTTCATTCTTATTCACTAATTATCTCAACGAGTTATTTTATACTGTGTTTAAACCGAACGAACTAATATAATATACTTACACATCTAGTTTGTGATTTTAATAATACCTACGTTTATGTTGATATAAGATACAATTACCTATTCAGCCTACCCAGCCAAGAAAAAAATAATCATCCAAAGATATACCTACATAATGTACCATAATTTCAGTTCAGTATTGTATAAACTCCTATATACCTACTTATAATAACAATTAGCTCTTGTATAGTTAGTGCATGTTTGTTGTAAATTTGCTCCTACAGGTGTTCTCCTTACAACTATTAATACTGCCGACATTAATTTCTTTTTTTGCAATCGGTTTTTGTGCAGAAGGATACACATGTAGCAAAAAATTAAATTTATATTTTCATCCCTTAATTATTGAAAAAAAAAAAATAATAATAATATCTTTATTTTATCATATTTCAAAATTTTCATATCGTAAAAAATATTATTCCAAAAATTTGAATCTTACATAATATTTATAACCGACCACTAGTTTCTAAGTATTAGCCGTTTTAATTTATACGAAATAGGCGTGAAAAACATTAATTTTTCAATAGAATAACACGTCACGCGATAAGGAATCACAATCAGCACGGTAATCCCTTATCTTTTATTGAATATTGACTGTTGCCCCGTGACAGCATAGTAAATGTTGTTGCCTTTAATTTGGTGAAACAATTTGTGTTAATACGGTTTATAAGATGAGTACTATATTGGAAGTACGAAAACACATTTTCCTATATGAAATACCAAAACACATTTGTCTATGTTTGTTGACATAGATATCATAGTATTATATTACTGGACACTATATTTGCGACGATTGTTACTCTACGATTGGGTTTAATACGTCGGTTACAATCAAAAGAAACACGCATTTATTCACGATAAAAATGAAAATATTCAAAAATATCATTCGGCCGAGGCATGAGTAAATACTCTTTTTAATAAAATGTACTATGATAGGTCTATTGCCATAAAACTCGAAAAGAATCCCAATACCGTTTAAGTGCGAAATGTATTTGTTGCTGTATTAGGGCGACCTCGTTTGCACGATAAATGACTAATCTTTAAAGGTTTTGTTTTTCAAAACAAACCCGAGGCCAATACCGCGCGTTGACATAAATCACGCACGATTATTTTTTATACAATTACCGGGAGAGGTATATTATTAGGAATAATAAACGTAATATTATGTTAAACCGATGTACTAACGTTCCTATATAATGTCGTTCAGTACGTTGTTCGGATCACAAATGTACGAAATCAGTGAGTGTGCTAGTCGTAATCGGACATAATAATATTATTGAAAATATTATTGTAATATCGTACAGAGAGAAAAACAAATGAACTCGGCCGGAGTCGTAGTGGTGGTCTTGGCGGCTGTTTTCTCGGCAAAGGTAAGCGCGACATTGTAAAATTCGAATGAGGGCTGTCGAAATAAAATTAACTCTTATCTGTCGTCTTGTTCGAGTTCCTACCAGTTTCGGGTGTTGGATATCAAATTGACAATGTTGCCCTTGTCAAATGATGCTCGAAATAAATCATTTGATGTTTTATTTACCAGTCACAGAGATTCTTTAGCCAAGATATTCGTCTTCTTCCCACACTTCTTTTTCCTTCGATTTTTCCTTGTAATATAAGCTGAAGCATTTTATACCGTTGATTATTCCGCATATGTCCTATGTATTCTAGCTTTCGATCTTTTATTTTTGTTAAAAGTTCCTTCTTTTCCATCCTTTCCAGTAGGTACACTCTGATTAGTAACCCGATCTGTCTATGAAATTTTCAGCATTCCCCTATATAACCACATCTCAAAAGCTTCAATTTTCTTAGAGGTTAACTCTGTTAGTGTTCAGGTTTGGACTCCATATAGTAATACAAAGAACACAACACCTTAATAGTCATTAAGTTAAGTTAGCTTATCGTTCTTTTCCGAAATCGTTTGGCGCTTTTCCCAAATACATTTGAGGTCGGTCATATTGGTTCAAAATCTTAACCCGACACGTTGCACTTCATCCCAGGAATCCTCGTAATATTATTCGCAATAAGTTCTCAATTGTATCTATTAATTTTTCCTATTATGCGGTATTCTTATTCGCTTCGTTCCGCGTTCGTTTACTAAACATTTATTCTTATAACCTCGAACTTCTCATTTTTGTTTTTATGATTTTGGTATGGGTAAATGCTCAATACGAATATAACGTAATTGTAAGTTGGCGCGTACTCGTTTACTACCGATTTTATACAAATACAGTTGAAAATATCGGGAAATATTGGTGGGTAAGTGGGTATTGAGTACAGATTATAGGTCATTTCTGGGTCATTTTAGTTTCGTTTCGCCCCTGCCGGCTTGCCTGTTATCAAATCTAATCTAACCGTACCTCCCCCCCCCCTCCCTTACAATCGCATTCTTTAATGTTCTATCATGGTAATTTTGGAAATCACTCCACGCATCCACCGACCGTCAAAACAATAATAATTATCCGCTTTTCTGTTAGTAAGGCGCTGCAGACGAAATTACACGGCCATCATAATGCGCTGCCGAAACCGCTGCCTAAACAGCCGCCGTACTCAAGTCACATCGCCACTACACGACCGGTCGACGCCTACAGCTCTCCGGCACAATTTCACACGTTCGCCGCGCTCCATAAGCCCAATTTCGCCGCCTGCCCTCTATTAGAACAGCTGTTTTCTTGTCCGCTCATCAGACTGCTGTACAACGTGAAATCTTCTTTCGTCCGCCCGCTGTTGAACTTTGCCGACCCGTTTGCGCCACTGATTTCCGATGCTACGCATTAGGTATAGTCATAGGCGTGGAGCGGAGTGGGTAACTGTCCCCTCCCCCTGCTGGCTGAATTTTTTTCGAAACAAACTAATATTACAACATTTGTTTTGGTAGTCATTATTCAGGTAAACATGTTCGAGAGTTCGTGACTGATATAAATATGATAACAATTTACCGCGAATTTATGATATGAACAAAGCGATCCAGTTCATTATTATTAATTATTGTTTTTATATTAACAACAATGAATTATTTTGTGATTAATGCCTTATGAGAATATCTAAGTTTAAAGCAAAGTGTGATATTATTATTATTATACGTATTCAATTCACCAAATTAACCTGTTTGGTTCCTTCTTCTCCTAGAAAATATTTCCGCAGTCACTGGTGATGTTGACAAAACAAAATGTTTGCCCCCCTGCCATTAAGGTTTGCGCTTGCCTATGGGCTTATAATACTACTATTATTATATAAACAATTCTTAATTTTATTTAAGTCAGGTTAAGCTGTACGTAAATGATATGTATGATGCGTGCACAACGTTAAACAAACAATAAAAAATCGTGACATTTTATAACGCTCAGCATTTTTTTTTATTTCTTATGCCGAAACTATTAAGCACAAGATGTCTGTTTGGTGTGACCCACTTGTAGGTGTAAATTTGAGTAAGTATAGTATATATAAAGCTATTTAATAATTGTCTATGGGCAACGATAAACCATTGCTAACGAAATACGATTCTGAGTGAAGTTCAGTTTGGAAAGTCAAAATTTGACTAAAACGATTATTAAAAAATAAACACTACTAGGTGCATCAATTTTTATTTTTATTTTTTTTTGACAATTTCATCTATATAAAATCTAAAAAAAAAAAAATCGAAGATGTAAAATGCTCATGATATTTACTAGATTGATTAACAGTTTGAAATTTATATAATAGGTAATTAAAAAAATAAAAACAACAAAAAACAACTGCCGAAATGTTTACTAATAGCCCCAATTTTAAGATACCGTACCTATATAAACCAGTAAGTAACATGCAAAATAATATAACCGCCACTGATCAAACGGACGAACGGTCTTGTTAAATATATTTTTGTTAGTAAGTTTTTGATATAAATTTTATTCCGCGGCGGATACAATTGGCTTGTTTTAACTTAGTGTATACTTGAATTCCGTATAGTTAGCGCGATTTTCACTTCAATAATCTTCTTAACCTTTTTCGCGATTCGTCGATGACATTATTTCTTTTTGTCACTTTAATACGTTTTATATTTCCCCCTTGGACAAATGGATTTTCTTCGTATTTTCGTATTGACGGTTGACCTATACGCAAAATGCAGTCGCTATTTGTGTCCGGCAACGGTATTTTTTTAGACGTTAAGTTGTCAAATAAAGTGTATCGACTATTACTGACATAACTAAAATAAAGGTATGCGTTTTCAATAACATTTTCTTCGTTCACACTTACATACCTATCTTTAGGCATAATGACATTAGCCATAAAACAGATCCAATCCATAAACGCATCGTATGAAAACCATTTTTTCCGCAATGCATCATCAATTTTTTTTATATACACTAGAATAACATCAATGAATAAGTTTAATTTAAACTTGAGTTCATTGGGCGGTATGAAATACCGTTCTGTTATCTTGCCAAATATGGAAACCAAATAACTTGATAAATATACTATATTGGATTTAGTATCATCAAATCTCATAAGAAGCATCTTAATTCGATTTTCGATTATTCTGAACTGAGTGGTTTCCAAAAACAGTTCAATATAAAATAGAAAATCATTTTTCAACAAATCTGAGGCAAATCCATTTATGGATTCTTGATTGAAATTTTCATTATTTGCAGTGTTTAAAATTTTACGGATTTGATTGTTTAACATCACCATCTTAATAGTTGATTTGAATAGTTTGGATGAGAAAAACGGAACTTGATCGTTATTTTTAAATACTCCTGGTGCGGCTTTCTCTAAATGGCGTCCATCCCCGTCACATAAATCCCGACTTTCAGTAGGACAATTAATATTACCTTCTATGACAGAACTACTACTGTCCGATGCGAGTTGTCCCGTAGAATCCATTTCTCAACAGCAGTGATAACGAACGATAACTATACGAGTATATACTTTACTAAATAAAATATTAATCAATAATACCTATAATATTCAGAAATCTGTGCGAAAGACGTGTTCAAAAAAACAGAATAGCAGATAATTTTATAATGATAGCAGTAAATGTTATTCAACCTATGACAAAAAAAAAAAAAAAAATCGAAATAAACAATGTTTCAATAGATTGCCCGTGACAACCAAATTAGAATAATTTGCAATAATTAATATTAATAATGGGTTTTTTGGCGTATTATAGATCATATTAAAAAATTGAAAACAATGAAATCGGTAACGTCGCGGCACGTTGTAAACATTTGTCCGTTTTTCTTATACGTTTTTTTTTCAAGAGTTTCCCGACTGTTACAAAAACCAAAATCGGAAATAAAAAAAATTACACCCACAATGCGCTAATAAAATGTGGCAAAATACGTAGCTTGTCATTTTTTGATTGGAGCAAAATTTCTGGTAGAAAAGTTGTTATCAAACACACCCACACACGACTAACACACATCATAGTAAACGAAATGACAAAATTTAATTTTTATGAAACCGACATTACCTTGTTTACCCGTTTTCAATTTTTATTTATTTTTGTTCGGATTAATTCCATCATATTATAAAAAAAAATTTAAACAGATTTTTCCAATCGACCAACAACATCCGAAGTGTTAACCAAAAACTCCCTATAGATTTACTCTATTGTAATATAAATAATATAATAATAATACGTTTAAAATACTCGTTTTGTATAGTTTTATCAAGGTACCGATTTCGTACCCTTGACTCAGTTATTTTATTGACATCTTTTATAAGAACTTTTCGTTTAAATCACCAGCTCCATAAACCATTTATTATATGACGACTACAGTTGCAGGGTGTCTTATTATATTATGTAAACGCTTTTTGATCGAATAGCAAAAAGTTTTTTTTTTATCTCCTGAAATTATAAAATTTGATTTACACCGTTTTTCTCGAACACCATCCATTCACATCCATTGATTTTGAGTCTCATTTGCCCACATCGCCCAACGAATACAACCGATGCTAGTTTAACGTATTTATTGTTGAACAAATTTTCCAAACTAAGATAAACGTATCAAAACAAAATAAACTAATATTAAACAATATTATAATATCGATATAACGATTATAACATCATTGAAATAAAAAAAGAAACAATATACGAAAATAGTAAAAGGTCTCAAAAACGATCGTAAATACGTGTTAAACCATATTCAATTTTAATAAACTATGTATACAGTAAAACAAGATTACATCAACAGGTATCGCTAATGTAATTTATTTACTAAAATTCTACAGTTCTACAGTTTCTTTAAATTATATATAAAAATAAAATAAAATAGTTGAATAATTTATACCGTTCAAAACATATTTTTTGGTTGTTTTGAAATAAAATATACGTTATACATTCTGCAGGTGTTTAATCGGACGTCTGTTGAAATCTAGGTAACGTCGATAAATATTGTATAAACGATGGATTTAAACTGCGTTTAATAGTCGGCGGTTGAGCGGTGGTCGTCAGACTGTCCGGAGCAGATAAACTGAGAAAGGAGTTTAACAGATTTATCGATGATTGTGAATTTAACAAAAGATTTAATAGCGGGTTTGTTACAGGTTGAGCCGGTGCGTTAGATGCAGTTGACTGTTTTGAAACCGTTGACGCGGGCGGTGTAGACGGACTGGATAAAAGAGGAGAAGGAGGAGAAGCAGTGTCTGACGGTTCATCTTCATCGTCATCGTCATCATCGTCATCATCGTCATCTGAACTCGGTGCGACGATCTGATTGGAATTTTCGTTTTTAATAGGTTCTTGTGACGGCGAGGTCGTTGACGGCTGTAAAGCTGCAGCAGATAAGAATTTCATCAATTCTCGGCCGAGGTCAGGCGATACATTCATCGGTTGTATTGGAAGTAGGGCCGGGGCGGAGGAGGTGGCAGGTGGCGGCGCAGGACCAATACGAATCGGCGGTGCCGGAAAAGATTCCGGTGGGTACGAATCTTTATCGTTGGGGGTTATCGACGGTTGGTCCGAAGTCGGGATGGACGATGACGGTATACTCGATGATTGTCTAGTGTTGGATGCATCAGTGGGCGCTTGGTAACCGTTCTGCGGTACACGAGGCGTTGGAATTTGCGCGTTTAACATAGTCGACAATTGACTTAATATCGAAGGCGGAATAAGAGACAGCGGGTTAGTCGGCGTGGTTCCTGGTAAACCGTTATTTCCCGAAGGAAGAGACGATGGTGGAGGCGGTGAAGATGGACTGGACTGAGAATTTTGTAACAAACTCAATAATCCGGGGCTAAGCGTCGAATGCGTGTGCGAAGCGGGTAAGATTAACGGTTTGATAAAAGTCGGAGGCGCCGCTCTCTTAAGGTTCCATATCGGTGAATTGTGGACCTGTAGATAAATCAAAAATGTTTACAGACTTAGTGATGAACACGTGTAATAGGCAGAGTTAAGCAGAAAGGATTTTGGTTTTGGATTTTGGACTTGGGTTTTTAAAATCCTTGTCAGAACAGTTTTAAAATTCATTGAAAATCCATTTGAAAACCGTATTGCGTTAGATATTGGTATTTGTGTAGATAGCGTAAGTTTAAATCTAATTTTTAGGATCCAATATTAGAAAAACTAGTTTTTCTTAAAACATTTTTGTCATAATTTTTGTTGGCGTATGAATTTGGGATATTGAATTTTGGATCTGGATTTTTAGGATTTTAAATCCTTTTTATAAAGATCTGGAATTTAGATTTTCAAAATCCATTACTCGAAGATTTGGACTTGGAATTTTAGAAGCCATTTTTAAAAAATTTTGCTCATCTTTGAATCTCTGATAACAAGTAGTAACTAATAAGTAATCGTAAACATTGTGACGGCAACGTGAACGGGTATCCTACATCATGAAACAACTGTAATATACTAATGTCTCTTTTAAACGTGTATTTATATACTTGTACAATAATGTTATTACAACATAAGGTGCAGGTACATACCGAACTTGAGACTGCGGCCAGCAGTACCAGGACAGTCAAAATCCTCGTTCTCGTCATAATATTATTATTATTCGTGCGACGGTTGCGACTTGCGATTCGAATTTATTTCGGCGCTCATAACGGTTTTATAGGCGCGTTGCTCGAGATCGTGTTGTTTATATACATAGTTAAATCGCGTACCGAACGGATTTATCGTTCATACATTTTTATTATCAACCGTTTTTTATTATTATTATTTACAAAAAACGTTTTGTGTGCACACACAATAAATAATAATAATAGGTACCTAAACGTATATCATATCTAATCTATCGATTGTAAAGCGATTTTTTTTTATCTCACTTCGTATACATCCTAATGTTATAACTTATAATGCCCTTGTAAGTATTTTCAATTGCAGGTTGTACAATAATATTGAGTACCTACCTGTGTTGTTCAATTATTATTAATATATCAGCACGTTTTGGCACTTGTATATAACATAATGTTCCGTACCTATTTTAAAAAACAACACACCGTTTTGCTACTCGATTTTTCCTCAAATCGTTCAATGAAATTCGCGCGTTGCCTAATGCTTGAAAAAAAAAAAATAAAAAAGCCTAAGAATGAAAGATAGCGTATTTGTTTGGCTGATGGTATCCTACTGTAAATCGGATGAACACTATAATCATAATTTATTGTATATTAGACATAGAAAACTTAAAATAAACATGCATTAGTGTATCAGTTTATAGAATGTGTTAACAGAGAAGATTGGAGGAGTTATAGCCTTGAACCATTCAAGCCAGTGGCGCGCCATAGCGTGGCGAGGACCGTTTTTGAATCCTATATTGGAATTTCGACCACTGAATAGACCCTGTCTATACGCCACTGATTCAAACGATCGACTGTTAGAAAAAAAATCTACCCATACTATTTTAGTACGTCGGATACATTTATTAAATTATCTATGCTTTTAAATACGAATATGAATACACGAATCCGGTATCTACTTGTTTATTATAAAAAGAAGGAAAAAAAGTAAATGAGATAAAGTTTTTATTATTTCGAATTACCTACTACGGAGAAATACGCAAAAACGACACTGAATGTAGCAAAGTATCTATACAGATTAGTAATCTGTATTTATATTCATTATTATCAGGTTAGAATATTATAATTTATAATATACCTAATATTTAGAATTCTGGTAAATTGAAGGATAAAAATGTTTGACTAAATACAACATGACGTGACAATTCGGGTAATATAGCCAATAGATAAAGAAATATCTGAAAATAAATATAGGTAAACCACGATTGTTAAAACGTTGTAATAGATAAATATGCGTAATAAATTATTAAACACGTTGAGTAAATAACAATAATAATAATCAAAAATATTGATAAAGCAAAGTATTCACTATTATTTTTTTTATTATTTAAAATGTATTTGTAATACGAAAACATGAATAATTGAGACTAAAATTTTGATTGAATCGTCTGTATTAACTCGCGTATATAATATTGCATGTACATTTCACTAGTATTTTAAATCCGATCTGGACAAAACGAGGCACGACGTATTGATTTTTCTATAATGTGATGCGTGTGATGTTTCTTTAAACAAATTTTTTTCGTAGGTACCTATCTGTAAACTTTTCGACCGGATGAAATTTTGCTCGAAAATTTGATACAAGTTCCATTATAATAATGTTGTACCTACTTGGTGGTAACAAAAAAAAAATAAAATACGCTTCGAATCACAAACTAAAAAGTTTATGCAGTGGCATAAGAGAGTGGCGCAGAGTTGGAAGTTAGAGGTTATATCCTCATTGGCTTGAAAAAAATAACAAAAAAAATATTAGTGATCTAATATCGAAATGTATTAATTTCAACCAAGTAATGAGCGATAACTTGACATATTGATTGAAAATTTGCTTTTTTTTGAAGATCTGCTTTTTAAATTACCAATTCCCATAGTCAAGTTGAGTGGAGAAGGCGATTTTACTCTTTATTCGCGGTTTTTATTTGTTACATCCACTCCCATTGAAAATTCCTGGGCGTGCCACTGGAACTATATAATGTCGTTATTATTATTAATTTTTTTGTATACACATGTTTAAAGTTAAATTTTGATGAACGTCGTTGCATAATATCTATTATATAACGTAATATTTTAGTATTTTGTTCATGGCCTAATATGTCATTGTCAGCCATTAATTGAACAATCACCCCTCTTCGATTTGTAGCCAGGTATACCTATTAAAATAATACTAGATTACTTGGTACCGGCCTTATAAGAAACGAAATAAATATCTGAAAACGAAATAATTAACGTACAATTATATCTATTCAAATTTGAGAAAACATTGTTGTTTTAAAAATGTAAAACAAGCTGAAGGCCCAACACGAATTTCACCACAGGCAATAATTAATATAGAACACGTTTATACCTGCTGTTATAGATATTATGTGTATACAAAGGTAACCTAATTGCATACGATTAAAAAATATTATTGTAATGTTTCGCATTGTATTTTCTTTGAAAAGGTAAATAAATCGAAATGTTTGTGCTGTTGACAAGGTCCAATCTAAATCTATAGCATTTATAGGTAATAATACATTACAGTTGTTTAAAACGAATTACCTACTCAGGGACGATCCTATAACAAAAAACAATGAGGGGGGCTGGTGTAAACAACAAAGTCACTGATTTAAAATTAACAATAATAGACGATTTTTACTATTCATTAAATTAAACTATATATAGGTGTACATTTATAATAAAATAATAAAGTAAAAACAAAATTATTAAAATGGTCAATACTCGTAAAGTCGTAAATAAATATATAAATAAAAATAAAAATAAAAAATGTACATATTTATTTACTATATTTCTATACATTTAGTTATTTTATCGTGTATTGAAAGAGGACGTTAGGCATACCCGAACGTGCTCCGCTTTACAACCGCATGACATGGAAAATTCTCGTTAAGCAGGGACAACTCTGTGCTGTTAACTTGAACATTACAGTGAAGAGACCTATTATCAAATTTAAAGATAAGAAACTCATCTGTATCGCGTCGTCGTCTATTTTTCGTAATTTTAATGTCTAGCGTGATCTATGCGTGGAAATATCACGGTTTAATAATGCTTACAACTCGCTTAAAAATTAAAATAACTACCCCACTCACATGCGGGTATAACGTCCTCTTAAATGATTAATTTAGTCAAATTTATATTAAAATATTTGAAGGCATTTGAGACGAATAATAAATGGGTGCGTAGGTATTCAAACAAAATTGTTTACAATGACTAAATCCAAACAAATAGGTATCTAAGAAATGACAATCAATTCTTACACACCTAACCGTGAAGACGGTTCGTCGATGAAGCTCATCGACGTAGAAGTTGATTTAAATTAGCTAAATGTAAAGGAATGATTTAACAAGATGATCAACCCACGCATCCCTCTAAGTATGTATTATTTTATATTCAATTAGTAGTATTATGTGAGCTTTTCCGCGTGAGAAAAACAGGATTTGTCAACATTGATTGCGATGGTAGCGGTGGGGAAGCATTGTGAAAACAGATCACACACTGTTGTCGGCTTAGACGAAAAAAAAACAAATGTTAGTTTTTCACAAATTAACAATGCTTAGGTGGCTAGATAATTTATTTTTGAATTGAATTATCCATTTTTGAATTCAGATAAGGTTTAATGAGCTTTAGTTCGTCCGTTCGTCGAACGCAGTTGTAACAGGAGTACCTGATTAATGAAACGACACAACCAGTTACGGATTCAGGGGCCTCGACCCCTCCAGACTATCAGCTACACCAAAGTTGTACTTCTACAAATAATTAATATTGTTTAACGCTGTAAGTTGTTTTAGGACGCCTGTCAAAATTTAACTCTAAATCTGCCACTGAACACAACCTATATATACACCTAACAATATTTAAACACTGGACACTCGATCTAATAAATAGTGTGAATTATTTACCATAATAAATTAGTGACGACATTAAATGTAATAATATGCACGAACAAATTTAATAATTATTTAAATAGGTTTCGCATGTATTTATAATAGGTATATTATATTTATACCTATATTGTGTACAGTTACGTTTATTCAATTGTTTAAATCGAATTGATTTATTGTGCCCATGTACCCATTTAATTAAAATTCATAAATTCGATTTTCAAGAACACTTCAATCTCAAAAACATATTTTTCTTTTATGCGGAGGTATAGTTAAACCTAGATATAGTTAGGTAGGTACCTCCAGGTGTGCAAGTACAAGACTAGGTGTAGGTACTATAAATAGGTACCTAAACCAGCTAAACCAACTGGCTACTTGTAATATGTATTGTTCAAAAGTTTTTCACATTTATTATTATTACGCCAAATATCAATAAATTTGGTACACACGATTTATTGTCCAGGTTGTTTTATAAAAATTTAAAAATAAGTATTTTTTCATTACATTGTAGCTTTTTTTTTATTAGGTAGGAAGGTACCTACGACCTACCTATATTGTACCAATCAAGTTGATTTATGTGCCTACCTACTTATGTAAAATCGCACTAAAATTGTATCGATCGTTATTTTTAACAGATTTACGAACGTTTATATGTATTCTCTGGACTCTAAAAGTTTAAATGTCTAATTATTCGGGAAATTCTATTATTACCTAGGTAGGTAGGTAGGTACTTATCTTTTACTTTCAAAATATTCAAATCTACAGATACATGTTGTGGGTTCCTACACGAAACGAAATATGAAAATAAAGTTTTTATGTAGGAAGGTTTACTAGGTTAACAATAGAAGGTACTGGACATTTGAATATTTTAATTAGGCCTCAAATAAACATATGTTAGGTAGGTACCTACCTACCAACTAACTGTTTATACCAAATGCGATAACAAATTCATGTGCCAATTAAAAGATTTTTACCTATGCAATAGTTATAAAATTGTTTCAATTATTAAAATAATGAAAAAAAAACCAAATTTTGGACATTTTGCACTATGGCCACTATGGGTCGGCCGCTGTAGTAGGTGTAAAGTTTAAAATGTGCCTCAAGGATATATTATGCCTAGGTAGTTTATTATCTAAAAATAAGTAAATATCTATTTATGATGTGTATGAAAATGAAGTAGGATGCTTTTGAATTTAAAAAGTTGATCCCCACTAAGTTTATTGTAATATACAAATACTTGAACACATTTTTTATACATAACATGTGGCATAACCAGGATTTTCCAATGGGTTGGGGAGAGAGGCAAACTACGAAAAAAAATGTTTTGAAAAATATATAATTATGTACTTAGTATAATAATTATATTGGTACAAGTTGATTAAGTAAGTAGATATTAGATAGTGTTAATGTGCAATGATTTTCAATTCTAAACACCTACCTAGTTGATTAGAAAATGATTTTACATTCTCATAGGTAATAAGGTATTTCAAAAAAATAAAATATTTAACATTTAAATAAGTATTTATAAACTTATTTTATTGACATTATCACACAAATATACAAATATATTATTTTTTAAATATCATAAAACACAAACTGATAAAGTATTCAATACTTAATTCAATGACTTAAATTTCACATTTTCACTTTAAGCCTAAACAATAAATTGTACATCTATAATATATCTTAATATTTTATGTAACTTATAATTAAAATGAATATAATAATATTTTGACTCTTATGGCAATGAAACACATAAGATCTGGAGGTGTTAGTTTACAAGGGTGATATATACCTGTAGGTACACAGTCATTTGATTTAGTTCAAATAGTATAGTATGCAATTCAATAGGTCTAAGTGAGTTAAAAATTGATAGATATAACAAATTAAACATTTAAAATCTCTTTAAATTTCATCTTTTGTGCATGATATTGGTCTTAATATTACATCATTATTTAACAAAAATCACAGATAAAAATAATTTTTCTCACTTTAAATATTTTCCAACAAGCATTATTATCTATGTTATTCCAAATATAATTAAATCCATTACAAACATTTTGAAAAAGATAAACAATATATACTTGTATAGAGATTAATATAAATATATTCGAAAACTATTTATTATTCAATAATATCTTTTACTACTACCTGTTACATGTTATTAGATTAAACCATCAAAGTAAATATTTTAATGTTTATAACGACTTGCTTTAAAAAAAACAAACATAATATTATATAACTGGTACATAAACAATGTAAAAAAAAAAAAAATAAATACAGAGTAATTTATAAATATTTAACACTTATTACCTATGTGCTACCTGTATACCTGGATTTTAAAATTTAAATGTGTTAAATCATATATTGTTTCTGAAATTTTGAATGTCTAACATGTAATAAAAAATAAATTAACATTATAATTAATATTAATTAACAATAATAGCATCTTTTTGTTTGAAAACCAGTACTTTATTTCAGTTTATAACTCTAAACCAAATATATATTTATAATTTGGTAAAGTTGTAAAGTTGTATTACTACATATTTTATAATTTATTCAACGTGATGTTTTGATTTATTCGTTAAAAACAATGATAACACTGCTCCGGTAAATGCAAAGATTGCAGATAACAAAAATCCAGAGTTATTGCCAAATGTATCCATTGTAAATCCACACACTATTGGAGCTATAAATCTTGATATTGCAGCCGCACTGGCTCCAGCGCCAGCGACAAGACCCTTATGATCAGATGATGACTGCTCATACATTATTTCATTGTTGAAGCCCCGTATTAGAGTACTGGACGCACTGATTGGAATCATGGCCGCCATAAATAAAACTAAATTTGGAGCCAAAGCTAAGCCAACAAAGCCTGCGCCTAATAATCCAAATGAATACGCACATTTGGTAAATGGATTTTTTGTGGGAATTATGTTTTCTATTTTTCCAGCTGCAAACCCGGTTATGCCACCAGTAAGTCCTTGTAAAGCACCTGTATAACCGGCTTCTGATGGAGACAAATTGAACTTTTCGTTCATTGCAAGACCTACAGTACTAAAGTAAGCAAACAGTGCTGCAGCACCTAACATTTTCAACGAGAACGCAGGCCAACATTCTTTCCAATTTACTTCTACTAAATCTCTAAATGGCGATGCATTTTTTCTTTCTTTTTTTGGTACCGTTGTGTTTGGAACTGTAAACCAAACCACTAAAGCATTGACTAAGAATATCATTGATGTGTAACACGCCAAACTATAAAATCCTTCACTTTTTTCCATGAGATGTCCACCGATAATTGGGCCGATAACAAATGACAGCGATGAAAATCCATTCATTCGGCCATAAACTGCAGTTTGTTGGTCAGTAGGTACTTGATCATTGACTAATGTTTTGCATAAAAGTTGTGAATGTTTCAGACATCCTTGAATAACACGGATTAACGCAATTAACGCGAAAGATTTAACACAGCCCAGAAGGAAATAGAATAAGGCACAAATAACGATTGTAACAAAAAGCACTACTTTTCGACCGTAGTGGTCACTAAGAGCACCAATAGGTGTGCCAGATAGGAATTGAAGAAATGAATACGTAGATCCCAGTAGGGCAATATTAAAGTGATTCGCTCCTAGAGAGCGTAAGTGAGTACCCCATACGGGTATGATGAGACTAATGCTGATCAAGTCCAGAAAAACAATTGCATAGATATATGTATATTTGAACATGATTAGTATTTTCCCTGAAAAAAGAAAAAAAAAATATATATAAATATAGGTAAAAATAATAAATGTTAAAGAAATCAATAATTATTAATATTACTAGATTATAATTAGAGTATGATAAAATTTATTAGAAGCAATGCCAATATTTACATATTTATTAAGAGACTATATTCGCATTTACTGCGAGTTACTTTCAGAGTAACTAATGGACAAAAGTAGCAAAATTAAGTTATTTAGATCATACAATATGGTGTTTGGGTAGAAATTAGAGTTTTCAACATAAATTAAACAGTTTAAAGAGGAGTAAATTTTTTTGAGGGTAGTATGTTGCTATTTTAAAAGTAAAAACAGAAACTAAAATCGCTATAACTTGCTTGACAATACTTAAGAAAAACAGCAAAACACTGCCAACAAAAAAAAAAAAAAAAGTACTTTTTTTAAAATTTTTGATTTGTATTTTAACTCTTATTTCAATAAAAATACAACTTAAGGTTTAAGTAGTGAAACAGTTGTTAGTTAGTAAGATTGAGACAGTATATAGCGTTCTCTTTATACAAACTAATTATTACAACTACCTAGTCATTTTGAAAGTAAATGTATAGAATATTTTTGTGTTTCATCCTTTATAGTTAATATTTTTTAATCGATAATTTATGTAGCTATGATAACTGATTGTCTGCAGAATTTTAATTTAATTCAATCATTTTGAAGTACCTATATTATCTATATTATTAACATTATTGTGATTAACAATGAAATTGTATACGTGTAGGAAAAAATGTTATATAATAAATTAATATTTTTAAATTTAATTTGTGCGAACAAAATGTGTTACTTACCTATTTTAATAATTGTTAATAAAGAGTTCAAGTCACGGGTAGGCGTTTAATGGAAATGATTTTAATATTTGAAACATACATCCTGAAAAGCATCACAGTAAAAACAATTTATAAACATTGATATAGTTTAAATAAATAATGTAGATAGTATGTATTTACCATGAATAATAATATAGTTTTTGTTATTTAATAAACGCATCCGATTATTTAACCATTATCAATGAACAGCCTATAAAAAGCACAATGAACATTAAATGTTAAAATGTTACAAATTATTACTGGTATACATTAGAAATATACGATAATAGTTTTACTATTTTTAGTTACGTACTCCGGGACGTCTGAGTGGGAAAAAATGAACACGGAGAACATTGACTAAAATAATTAGACGACTATTACCAGATATTACATAAGTCACAAGGTCAATATTATGATAATATTTTATTCGCAGATTTGTCGTTTTTTATTTGGATTATTTATTGTGTCTAACTTAATAATTATTGATACATTTAACCGGCAGTAGCTGCTCCTCCAAAACCATTGGTTGCGTATTATCACGTTTCATCGATTATATTGTTATATTGTTATATTGTAAATAAACTGATAAATTTCATGCTTGAACATAGTGTATACCATGATTTTGTTATAGGGTATACCAAGGTTCATCCACGACAGGTCAATCGATACGAGTTGAGATAATTGAAGAGATATCGGAAAAATATTTCGTTTTGTAACAGCTGACATACCTATTTGACTGATTTCGGGCACATTTTACGTGACTGCTTTTGATGATTTGATCGCGAATATCCATTAAATAGTGTATTATAATTTTTATGAAAAACAAATTGAACAGAATATTTTTTTTAGATATTTTTCTTTTAATTGGTTTTTTTAAAATAAAAACTTATTATCATTGATACCGAAGGTTGGTAACAGCGTTTACCTCGGAATAATAAGAAATAACTGATAACATTATCATAATATCACAATTTCACAACACTAAGCAATATTGATGAACGTCGGAAATAATTATTGTCTATTGACGATTTTTACACGGATATTAAAAAGGTACGTTTTGACCTCTTATATTTTGTTCATGTTATTTTATTCACTTTACTTTTGTTTTTAATGTAATTGTATTATATAGGTGATTCGCCGACAAAATGAACAGTTCGGCGTTAGTGAGGTCAAATTTGGTCCCTAAAGGTCATGGAGCTTTTGGTTTATCGAATTTGGCGTTTAAAAGCATATTACAAACTCGCCAAAACGCTACCGCAGCAACTCCACCGCCTACACCGGAATTAAAGGCGTCCTATGGTAATCTTTCCGATTCAGACAGGATTTTCACGAATCTATATGGACGCCACGATTGGCAACTTAAGGGAGCCCTGAAACGTGGTGATTGGTATAAGACAAAAGAAATTTTAATAAAAGGTACCGATTATATTATCAATGAAGTTAAGACTTCCGGTTTGAGAGGTCGTGGTGGTGCCGGTTTCCCGACCGGAATGAAATGGAGTTTCATGAACAAACCATCCGATGGTCGTCCGAAATATTTAGTCGTTAATGCTGACGAAGGAGAACCAGGCACATGCAAAGATCGGGAAATCATGAGGCACGATCCTCATAAATTAATCGAAGGATGTTTGATCGCAGGTCGTGCAATGGGAGCTTGTGCTGCTTACATTTACATTCGAGGAGAGTTTTACAATGAAGCATCAAATCTGCAACAAGCTATTTGCGAGGCATACCAAGCTGGTCTCATTGGAAAGAATGCTTGTGACTCTGGTTATGACTTTGATGTGTTTGTACATAGAGGAGCTGGTGCTTATATCTGTGGTGAAGAAACAGCACTCATTGAGTCCCTTGAAGGTAAACAGGGTAAACCGAGATTGAAGCCCCCTTTCCCAGCTGACGTCGGTGTTTTTGGTTGCCCCACTACAGTGTCCAATGTTGAAACAGTAGCTGTTGCACCTACTATTTGCCGTCGTGGTGGTTCTTGGTTCTTGGGACTTGGAAGACCCAGGAATTCTGGAACTAAACTGTTTAACATATCCGGCCATGTGAACACTCCATGTACTGTTGAGGAAGAAATGTCAATTCCATTAAAGGAATTGATTGAGCGACATGCGGGGGGTGTAATAGGTGGTTGGGATAATTTATTGGCTGTGATTCCTGGAGGTTCATCTACTCCACTCATACCGAAACATGTTTGTGATACAGCTATTATGGACTTTGATGGTTTGGTTGCAGCTCAGACCAGTTTAGGAACAGCGGCTCTAATTGTAATGAACAAACAAACCGATATTGTTAAAGCTATTGCTCGTTTGATTATGTTTTATAAACATGAGTCGTGTGGTCAGTGTACACCTTGTCGAGAGGGCATTAATTGGATGAACAAAATAATGTATCGGTTTGTCGATGGTCAGGCACAGTCTTCAGAAATCGATATGCTGTGGGAAATCAGTAAGCAAATTGAAGGGCATACAATTTGTGCTCTTGGAGACGGTGCTGCTTGGCCTGTACAAGGATTGATTCGGCATTTTAGACCCGAACTCGAAAGTAGAATGAAGAAGTTCCGAGAAGAAAGTGAGAAACAAGCCGTGTCAAACTAAATTGTTTTGTCCGATAGTATTTTACCTAACATCAATTCAAAAATATTCTTCTATGTGATTTTGTCTTATTTGTTTTGGCAAGTTGATGATTATTAGTTATCTATTTATATATATATACATATAAACATACAAATTATAATAAAATTGTGCATTATATGTAGACATGTATTTTTTTCTTTTTAAGTAAATTTTAAGTTAAAATGATGCTGCTTAGGTTAAATTCTAGAATAATTTGTTCCGTGGATTAAATTTATGACTAGATTTTACAATAATATACATTTTATTTTTATATCCAACTAGTTATAACAATTTCCATTAACTCAAACTGATTAATTACTTCATCATATATACTCATACTTTATATTGGCACTTTATAATATTATTATTTGATAATAATTACAATAGATAATAACTGATTTTTGTTTTATTTTATTCAAATTATTCGTACACATTTTTTGACTAACATGATAATATTAAGTATAATATTATCATTGTTTATTATTTAACATTTTGAAAAATATAATAAGAAGAATTCTAAAATGTAATTTTTAGCTTAAACTAGTTTAAAACACATTTTATCTGGTGTAAAATATGAATACTTCAAATACATTATTGGTTTAGGAATGTTTTTTACCATAACATTTTATTGTTTCATAATCTGATCAGTTATTAAAAACTACCAAAAATGTTGGGTATCTAGTACATTAATATTCAGTTAAAATATTAAAATTATTATTGTCGACCAGACTTAAATAAAAAAAACTCACCCATGTGTATTTTGTACATCAAAAAGTTACAGTATGTAGGATTTAAGTGAATATTTCATTAAACAGTAAGATCGTGAAATATACCTATTTATATTTTATAAAATTGGTCACTCATAGTGTTAGTCAGTAACATTGATTTTAAAATAATATACAAATATCCCATAGTATAGTTATGTGAACTTCCCGTGAGATAGCACAGTAATATTTGACAAATTATGAGGTACTTAAAATATACATTTTTTAGCGTATTGACTGATGTTGAATAATAATTTATAAAATGAATGGTAGTACCTAATAGAACATAGCAAAATTGAAACTAACATTTTATTAATTTGTAACTTGGTGGGGTCAAAATGATTGCATCCTTCAAATTGTTTTGCACTGGTGTATTTTTTGATTGTTAATACAAATTAAACAAAACATAATAACATATTTTACACAGTTTATAATTATTATTTTCAGAAATATAATTGTTCTTTTTATAAATACAGGCAAGTCTTATTCATATAATAACGTAAATAAATTAAAATTTATCTTAGGTTAAATTAAGTAATATTACTCTTAAGGGGTTTAAAAATTATTAAAAAAAGGTATACAAAATAAAAATTGTTAACAATAATTATATTATTATTCTAATATTTTCTATATTTTTTTATTATTGTCAACCAAGTTCATTTATATAAAAATAAATTCTTAACAATATTGTATCATGTATTACTTGACATCATAAATTCTAAAACAAAAATCCTCATCAACATTATATTTTAATAAATGCAATTATTTTAATTTTATTTGATCATATTAGTTTTGCAAATCACTCAATGTTATAAATGATTTTTTTTTTTATTATTTATGAATAATTAGTATCTTAAAATGTAACCCTGAATATATTAAATACTTTTAAAGCCAAATGTCAACACTTATGTTATAATAAAATTCGAACAAATTTAGATCTTATAATAATAAAAACAAATTCAAAAAATAATACCTGATAGTAATTTGTATAAAATTAAACTAATTACTAATACAAAAATTTTTAATGTTATAAACAGTATCACAAAGGTAACATATTTACTAAAATTCATTGTTTTTATAAAATGTATACAAATTGTATTCCTTTGTAGTTAATTAGTTGAAAAATAACAAAAAACTAAAATAAAATAGATTTCTTTTTAGTTCAAACTTATGATTTTTTAATTTTATTATCATAAAATTTAGCCAATGCTGCAGCAGAAACAGCAGCTAGGGACGCGAACAAATATGCTCCCCTAGTACCATACATATCCATAAATAATCCGATTACCATGGGAGTAATAGATCGAGCTACTGAAACGGAGCTAGTCATCGCACCACCCAATGTTCCTCTATTATGATCCTTAGAAGTTTCAGAAAGAATTTGATTTAAAAATACTTCTATTAGAGTACCAGCTGCACTGACAGGAACCATACACAACATGAAAAATATCCAGCTTGGAGCAAATGACAAGCATAAATATCCAAAACCAAGTAAAACAAAACTAAAGAAACATTTTTTGAACAGATTATATTTACGTAAAAACGGCTCTAATCTGGGCACTGCAAATCCAGTAGCGACACTGATTGAACTGTTGATCGATAGCGTGTAACCAACTTGGGAAGGTGTGAGTTTAAACTTTTCTATGAGTACAAACCCAAATGACACCATCATTGTTGATATAGTTGCAGTGTACATCATTCTCATAAACAATAATGGCCAATACTCCAACCAATCGACCTCTTTTAAATGATGAAACATGTTTTTTTTCACACTGGTTTGCTCAATATTTTTGTTTGGAACTCGAATCGCAATAATAATAGCATTTATAGCACAAAGGAAACTAGTCGAACATGTAAGGTAATAAAATCCATTTGTTACTTCCGATAAATAACCTCCATAAACTGGGGCTATCATAAATGACAACGAAATAAAACTATTCAACTTTCCATGTGCGCTCAATTGTTCGGCTTTAGGTACATTATCGCCGATTAATGATTTGCCTAACATTTGAGTGTGTTTGAAACAGCCCAACAACAACCGTATAATAGCAATCGACAGATAAGTATCACAGTAACCCATGGTGAAAAATGCGAAAACACTAAATAACATTGAAAATAAAAGTAAGGGTTTGCGACCGTAACGATCGCTGAACGTACCAACAATGGGTCCCGTGATTAACTGAAGGCCTGAGAACAGGGATTCTAGAAGGGTTATTTGGAAATGTGATGCACCATATTGTCTAAGGTGACGATTGAAAGAGGGCATGATCATGGCGAGGCTAGCTATATCTAAAAAGCCAATAATATATATATATGTAAAGTGATTCATTTTTTTTATGTATATATATATATAAACTATACAAATATTATTATGGAAATAAGTAAATTAAACTAATATAATACAACAATTATAGTTCCACTTTTTCAACGTTTCCTTCCACCTGAAAAATAAAAAATGAATTACAAATATAGTTGGTGATAATCTATTATTTCCAGAAATATTTAATGTTTTGACAAAACATGTAAGTGATCTTAAAGTGGATAATAAAATGTATAAAAGTGTTATTTATAGACAATTGTTTAAATGACTAATTTAACATTAATAATAAGATTAGAAGCTAATCTTAAGAAGTTAGGAACTTTTCAAGAGTATAACATAGAGTTTAAAACAGTAAATTACTGTAATACATAAATTATAAGATTAAATACAATAGTATGTTAAAATAAAATGCTTGTTCTGTGAAATATACAGTGATTTACTACGCGTGGTCACTCAATTTCAATTTTGTTATTTTTTTTTTTAAAACATCTTATTGTAATAACAATAAAAGTTGCAAGAATCAAACACTTAAAAATAATCGGGAAAAGGGCTTTTTGGTGTAAAAATAAAAATAAAACATGAACGGGATGGAGTGCGGTTGCGGTAGATACAATTTCAGTGCAGATAGCATACTACGCGAGTTTTCAAACATTGACAGGTCTGAAGAAGAAATATCTTCTATACTAAATAAACAGGTAAATAGACACGTGTATTATGAAAACTGTTGAAAAATTATACTTTCCATAATTCGAGATAATACTTGACGATTATTAAATTTCACAATAAATAAATTAAAATCTTTAGTAAAAAAAATTTAAAATTATAAAATAATATTCATTTAAATATGACTCATAAAAATAAAAATTATAATACTTTTTATGTAAGTCATACTATACATATTTAAAAAAAATACTTACAAATGGATTAGCTGGTCCCTTATATACTTGATTTTCAATTGTTACATCAACACAGTCTTCTTGTTGTATTATAAAATCTTTTGCTTCCCAAGCTTGTGAACCATCTTTGTACATGAATATAGCACGATTATTGTCAACCATAAATCTATACATAAAAAAAAATTCAATTAACACGTCATAATATTTAATTAGAATTACTAGATAATATTTGATTACAATTAGAACATTTATTATTTTGTAATCATGAGTTTATACTATACATACATAGAATATTACCAAATTTATTAAGCGTTTTCTAATATAACACTAGCACAGTAGCATACAAACTGATTAATACACAAGGTGCATACATATGCTAAACTGAAATCCATATACAAAATGCTAAACTCTGTCAAAGTTCATTCAGAGATAACAATAAAAGATAAGATGCATGAAGTAGTTTTCTATTTTTGTATTTACACACACAAATAGTAAAAGAATAATATTTACCAACCTAATAAATATTACCAGTACACAAAATAATTGGTATTTAGGCCACATGATAATATGAATTAAATTTTAATGAAACTAAATAATAATAATAGTTAATATCAGTAATTTGATTTTTTGGACAGTAATCAATTTATGCATACACTGTAAAATACATGCATTTTTTATGAAATAAATTTAATTTTATAAGCAAGAGAACACATTTATTCTAGATAATACCTGATCATTTTGGGCTGTTATAATAGATATTTAAATATATATGTATATTGTATGCAATAGATATACATTTTGACTGTGTTATAACTGTAAAGGTTATGTTATTGTTATAATAACTAGGTACTGAAATAAAAAAAAAAATCTATCTACCAAATTAGAACATTTTTGCTAAGGTATTATACAGAATAAATATTTAGAAAAATTAAAAAACAGCAGAGAGCAAAGAAACACTAGTTGTTTTACTTAATACAGTAAAAAATAAAAAAAAAAACAATACAAGCTTAGTGACATTACAGTAAGTATATAAATTATGTTATAGGTAGAGACCTAATTTATATGTTCTTAAAATCTAATTTTTGCTTTTTAAATGTTTGTTAATACTTTTAGAGATTTTTTGATGTTTTAAAGCTCCTTTTTGTGGATTATAAAAGAATATAAATCTGATCTCTAGTCATAACATATTAACCATTATAATATAACGTCTAACAATTAATTCATATCCTACATTCTTGACACATATCAGATAGCTGATGACAGTACCTACTAAACTATCTATTAAAATAAATTAAATTTGTCCAACCTTTCTGCTTGAATGTGGTTGTTCCATAAACTTGATTGCCAGAGTTTGGTTATTTTTTCAACTTCATCTTTTGAATATTTGGGCGATACTTTAACAAATGTCATTAAAGTTTTACCTTTTTTGGATAGTTTTAACAAGGCGTCAGGATCATTTCCTATCTAACAATCAAAAATTAGTTTATTAATTAGTTTGTTTTGTGTTTTATAAAAATAAATGTGTTGTTTGCCATCATAATAACTTTCAGTTTTAATTTATGATGAAAAAGTACTATTCAAACATGATATTGAACAGATGATACAAATTATTGAGTTATAATTACCAAAGTTGGATCAATTTGAACAGGTGGTCTCAAATGTTCGGGTAGTTCATCGGATGGTAAAGGTTCTTCGTCTTCCTACATTAGGAAAAACAGAAATAGTAAACATTTAAGTACATAGTAACATTATATACAGAAGCGTGGAATGCACAAAAAAAACAAGTTCAAGTGTGATGTAGTTTCAAGGTCAACAATGTATACTAAGTATTTTATATAATACCTCCCATTGGTCAAGCAACCTCTCCATGTCTGCTTCTGAATAAAAGCGAATATCTTTCTTCGCCCAAGAAGGTTTTTCGCCGGGCGCCGATTTCTTTGCGGTCACAGCCACTAGAACTAAAATCGTCAAAAATAACGACCGGATCATTTTTAAACGAAAATACAATTAAAATGAAAATCCACGATAGAACTGTGTATATTGTAAATGATCATGTAATACGTAATAAACAATAGTCGATCAGCAGACAGAGGCACATCAACGTATCGGTAAAAAATACTAAAAAAAACTGAAATGTCTTGGAATTAAAATTTCAAGGGAAATATTTTAGTACTTGGTTGAACATAATAATCCAGCATTCCAATTCACGTCAACGATTTATGAATCTATTATCACATAGAACGGTAAATTGATAACGGAACCGTTATAATTCATGGAAGAGACCGCGTTATCGGTCGTGAAACTCGTTTTGCGTTCCAGTGAAATAACGCAAAAATGAAAAAGACGTCCTAGGATAATGGTTACGGGTGCTACTGTTGTAGATAATTTAATGTACCCATACCTGTAAGCAACGATAAACTATTGCTTACAAAAAAACGATTCTGAGCGGAGTTTAGTTGATAGTGGTGCTTTGTCAACAATATATATGTCATTTTAAAGTAAAATAATTAAACAGGCTTTATGTATTTTCTTTAATAATATTTGTTTAACGTTGTACCGATTTTCCTAGTTTCCCTACGTTTTCCCCGGTTTTTCACATTTGCTGGTAAAACTCTTGGGAAAATCGAAAAACGAACTCTTAAAAGTACCTCCCTAGTGAAATTTCCATTTGGAAAAATTTGCTGTCGTTCAAAGTTGGAGCAAAATTGCTGGTAGAAAAATTGCCACAGAAAAATAAAAATAAAAAATAAACATCTTTGTAAAATCATAAGCTTTTTCACTCCACCCGGAATCTAATATGATAATTATTTTATGAAATAGATGTTGAAAATATTTAGCTCCCAAAAATTTTAAAACATAATTTATTTTTAAAAAGTAAAATGACCTTGGACATTGGTAATACACCTATACCTAATAAAAGTACCTAACATGATTATTTTTGATCATTTACGGAATTATTTAACTTATAATATTGTTTCATTACATATATTATATACTTTTTATGGATAATAAAATCACTAGCGTAAAATGCTGTTCCGGTTGTACTAGTTTTCCATTTTTTTAAGAATAGAAATATTTGAAGCTATAATATAAGTGTAGGTATATTTCTAGTATATTATATATGTATAAGGTACAGTTGTATTTTTATGATAACACCCTAAATCCGTGTTTAAGCAATATAAACGTATTAAAAACGTGTTTTTTTTTTTTTAATTTAGACACCCCCTTTAAATAATTCTGGTCGCGCCATTGTATATTATACATGCTAATAAAAAATAAAATTATTAATGTGGGTTCGTTTCTGAATATTATTTCCGACGAATTTATAAAAAGTTATAATTTATGCGAGATATTTTTGTTTACCTAATTTTCTCTATTTATAAAATAACGGAAGCTCTCGAATTGCCTCCCAAATTCAGGTAGGTGACCTTTTTTCATTCGAATCGCCTCCCATAGCACACCTAGATTATTAATTAATGTAACGATAGTTGACGTGTACTATCGATTATTTATATTGAATTCCGTAATGTTCAAAAATATTATTTTATTACGGATTATTATTTACCGACTGATTGATTCATCATCGTCTAGCCCAAACTACTGGACAGAACGGGCTGAAATTTGGCATACGGACAGCTATTATGACGCAAGTATCCGCTAAGAAAGGATTTTTGAAAATTCAATACCTAAGGGGGTAAAATATTTGTACTTAGGTACTTTTGGTACGAATATCTAATTGTTCATTTATTTATTTTTGTTTATTCGTAGGTTACCTGGGTGACATGTATAACAATTCAGTTGTTACGGAAAAGAAAACTGGGTTTTATTATTATTACTTTTATTTACATTATGATCTAGCGATAGCAAAGCGTTGCCAGGTAAGATAGTATACCTAATATATAACTAAATTGTATACTTTATTTTAAATGATTTTAACAAAAATAAAAATGAAAAGGTGAAATAAAATTTAAGTACCTACTATTTTCTTTTTTATTTCAAAGTGTTGACATTAGAAATTGTATATAAATGACATTTATTTTGTACTCGGTTCGAATTGAACATAATACACTCTATAAAGCGTGGATTTTCAAATGTCGTTTGCCCCGGGCCCCCAAAAGTTTAAATTCGGCTCTGTCACTGATCGATATATCTGCCTGAAAAAACCGTAGTTTTTTTTTTCGAATCGTTTCGGAGTCATGGAAACGTGATGGTGTAAACAAAAAGACCCGTTTGAATGCGGTGTGTTTTTTTTCTCTGGCAGTCGTTTGTAATCATAACCGTGAACGTAAACGCTAAAATTTCTATAACAGACAATTTAATCATAAATAGATAAAAGATTTAGTCGTGTAATCATAACGAAATTTAATCGCAAATAAGTATAACCAAGTTGATATAGTTCGGTGCGGCGTTCGGGTTTTGATTTTGTCGACGAGTTTGTTTAAATAATATCTACAAATCGTAAACCAGTACAAACCAGTGATTTTGTTGATTCCGAGTTCTTTTTTTTTCTTTATGCGATTTTAGAAACAATTGTTTTGATTTAAGTATATCCATTGAATGTAAGTACGTATGGATAATATTTTACGGTGAATGGTGTTCGATTTATTTTTCATTATCTATTTGAACAATATGAGCAAACAAAATGGACATTCCAGTAGATAGAAATTTATCATTTACTAATATTTATTTTTTTAACTAGGTCGGTACCTAATATATTATCTGCACGTTTGCGAAAAAACATAGTATAACATAGTATAATGTCTAGGATAACCTACGTTATAGATATCTATATTTATTTAAATCGCCTTTTATCGATTTCGGTATCTATAACTATCGTGAGTACTCCTATAACCGGGTATTTTTTTTCGCATCAAATTTAAACAATAAATTCAAATATTTGACACGCATCCCTGGCGATTTTACCTAAAAAAAAAAACCCTACCATTCAACTGCAGTGTCATATACAGAGTGTCCCACGAAGATATGGTCATTGCCGTAAAGTATTACCTAACACTCGTATTTTTTTTTGTTCGTAATTTAAGAAACAAATAGCTCTAAAACGTTACATTACCGTTATTTTTAGGGTGGAACCGATCACTAATTATTGATTTTCAAATGGCGACCTAAATTGAAAATTCAACAGAGGTTAAACACATTTTGGTATTTTCCAAAATTCCAACATCAAAATGTATTTGAACTAATAATCCGCCTATTTATGTATAGCGTATCAAATTTATAATATAAGTTGCCATTTGAAAATCAAAAGTAGGTATTCGGTTCATCCTCTCAAATATAAGGGTGACAAAAACTAACGAGAATGGAACATTTTAGAGCTACTTGTTTTTTTGAGTTGTGAAAAAAAATTCCTTAAAAAGTTGATACTTTCCGAGATACCACAATAATCATATTATCTTTGCGGAACACTCTGTACAGTCAGGCTTTGTGAGTCTGAACATTTTAAGTTTTCATTAACCGTTTCGAATGCGGTCGTGTTAGTTACCATAATATATTACGTACAATAATATTGTATGCCATTTCACGTATTTTTATATAGGCCGCGGAGTACAATAGATCGTATATTCCAATATTCGAATCTATAAACAAATAAAATATGATTTTGCGCCTTTTATACCTGGAGATATTTCGGGATCGTTCTCGACTTCGATATATAGCATCTGTGTGTGTGCGTGTGCGTGTATATAGCAATAGCGTTATGGCTATCTACAAAACATAATATCTAGATTTTTTTATTTAATTTATCTGGGACCTTGACAAAGATGGCTCTTTAACCATATTCCTTAGTTTGTGATTTTTTCTTTTTTAAATTTTGAGTATAACGAAGAATACATTGGTTTAACAAAGATGTTTATATTTTTGTTACACTGTGTATGGAAATTCTACCAGAAATCTTGCCCCGAAGTATCAAGTATAGCATCTTTTCTGAAAGGAAATTTTCCTGGGGTAGTATTTTAGGGATGCCATTTTTTTGATTTTATCAGGAGTTTTTCAATAAATGGGAAAAACAGTAAAAATCGGGGAAAAAAAGGGAAAATAGATACAATATTAAAAAAATCTTGTTAAAGAAAATATATAATGCATATGTAATTATTTTACCATAACGTGACAAAAACGGCGATATTTATATAATAACGGTTTCTGTTGGGCGTTTTAATGTTGATTTTAATTTTCTTTTGTTGTAATAATTCGGTTAGAACTATAAATATCCGTAGATGAGGCCTGAACTTTTCATCAAATACGGTAATATATCTATTACTCACTTATTTCTAGACGCGATACAATTAACAATATACTCTGGATTTTTTTTTTTTTAGTTTTTTATGATAAAATTCGTTAAAATCACGAACATCATTGTAAATTGTTTTGCCGTTACAAACAAATACAATTTTAAATTTGAATGCATTAAAACATGCTTTAGAGTTAAAAAAAAAGGACGAACATACTTCGCACGTGGGTACAACCACTGTTGTAGGTGGGAAATTGGGAATTAAATGTATATCTATAAGCAACGATAAACTATTGCTAACGAAATAGGATTCTGAGTGGAGTTCAGTTGATAGTGTTGTTTTGTCAACAATACATTATGTCATATTATGGTAAAATAATTGCAACAATGATTGTTTAAAAAATATTAAAATAATAAAAACTTAATAATAACAAAAAAATAAATAAAAACGGTTGCCAATGACAACCCTAATTTTAATCTTTTAATCTTTTTCAATTTAAAGAACCAGGTTTTCCTCATTATCTCGAATATTAATGACAATTCAAAAAATGATCACTTTAAAGTACCACACAGAGAACATTTTCTTTCAGATGAGGTGCTATACTTGATAACCGAAGTAAGTTTTCAGGTAGAAAACATTTTCACATATAAAAAAAATAAACATCTTCGTAAAATCAATACGTTCTTTGCTAAACTCAGAATACTCAGAATCTAAAAAAACTAATCTAAACGGGCTGCAGTTTTATAAAAGTAGTTCAAAATTCTTGAGCCAAACGTGTCATGGCCAGTTTTGTTTATAATATTTTAAATATGTATTGCAGATAATAAAAGATTCAAAATGAGCGACAGTTGGCGACAGACAATGATGAATATTACCGATCGTATATTTCCATCGCTTCCTCCGGAGGAGAAAGTCGGACCGGCCATTGGTATGTGATAAGTTTATTTTTGAAAAATATAAAAAAAAAAAAGTTTTATTGTACGATATTCACCTAAATTATAAACGGAACAGAAGAATTTCAAACTCAAAAGTTTATATATTTGGTTCAAGGCTTTAAATGTTCCAAAAAAAAAAAATAAAATAAATTGTCACATTAAAATTGACCTACTTCTATAATTAATTATGTAAATACTTTTTTTTAATTTGATAAAGGCAACGAAATTGTATCAAGTCTTCCGCTGCAAATGTCGCTGTACTTTAACATTGTGTACTTTCCGTTTTGGTTTTATACATTTCTATCGCTGATCGTATTTAAAGTAAGTCTTTTAAAAATAAATTGTTAATTTACCTAACGGTGGTGGTTTTGTCGATATTTTTTAACTTGACTAATTTTCAACCTATAGGTTTTAACCGTACAAAAAGTATAATAATTTTCAATTAAACAAAAGCGTATATTTTCCTTTTAGTTTCATTTAGGTCGATTGTTTTATAATGGATTCATAGAGATATTGTTTTAATTAAGTATAAAATCATTGCACGAAAAATGGAAAAGTTAAATTTCTTAAAAAAGTAAAAAAAAAATAATATTTTTAAACCTTCAATCAATGTTAAGAAACAGTCTTATTCTCTTTTAATCAATCAAAGTAAAGTATAAAAACGGTTTAGGCATTTTTATTTTATCGGAAGGGAACAAAAACGTAGAATAGAATCCTTAATCCTTATCGTCATAGACTCATAGTCACTTTTTTCGTTACTTATTGTATTCGTGAATTATAGTAAACGATTTAAATATTTTTTATTTATTGTACCTAATTAAGAGATTATTGATTTAATAATATAGAGACTGGCTGCAAAATTTTTTTTTGAGACAAAAATTTTAGATTACGATTATTTGGTACAGTAACCCGCTACAACACCTCGCATTGAGTTCCATTAATGCTGTATAATTTATATCGATTCATATCGATCGTCTGCTATAATCACTTTCTAGATGCGGTATAATTTTCAAAACGTTGTGGCGTTTTTTGCGTAGTTATTTAAAATGTTTGTGTTTTTTTAATTTCGCGAATTATAAAACTATTTTCTCCATAAAAATACCGAACAATTCGAGACAGTAAACCTCGGATGATATTGTACATTTCAATTGAAGTTTATCAGATCTTGATTAGACGAACTTCGCTCGGAATCGTTTTCCGTTATAATTTAATATTTTATCGTCGCGTACAGATATAAAATAAACTATACTTTTATGTTTTTTTTTTTTTTTTCTAGTTTGACTGTCTGAATATGTTGACGCAAACCATTGTTTCCGTGTCGTTATTTTTGATATTCCTGCTGGAATGCGTCAGACTGTACTTGGGTGTCCAAGGGAACATGAGAGAAAAAGTATGTGCAATATACCGGTATCTAACACGTAGTATAATATTGTATTATGTTTAAAAACGGCCGCAAGTTTGGATACTTTGTTTTACAACGCGTATGTATACGGTGTAGATTCCGGATTTGGCCGCATTTTGGATGTTCTCGTTGATACTCCAACTGCCTCTGCAACTGGTGTTCTTGTTGCTGAACAACGCGCCCGCCGAGAGGGCCGCGCACGGCGTAATGTGCGCGCTACTGCTGTCGCAACTGGTTTTCGGGTTTATCGTCGTCCGGGACATGGCCAGACATCACAAGATCCGTTTTCACATATCGCAGTTTTACAACGGGCAGCAGCACACCAAGACCGAATGAACGGCGAAAACGATGAAAACGCCGCCACCGCGTCGTTAATTATTACGCGCGGGTATCCGTAAACCGGCGAAAAATAATAAGTGTTTTTTTAATTTTTTTTTTGTCCGCGACGACACGGCCGCCAAAGGACAAACGCATTGCCGCGCGCGAACGCGGCTGGTAGGCGAAACCCCGGTAATCAGTTAAGGGCGGCAGAATAGTTAACGGCCGAAAGAGGTAAACGCGAGTCGGGAGAATAAGGACCGCCGGTCGGGCATATTCAAACACCAGATGGGAGAGACGATAACGGAGTATCGCGGCGGAAACGTCGCGCGCGCGCGAGTGTTTAACGTTATTGTGTTTTGCCGGCGTGTGCGCGCGTATTTCGCGTAACGCGTGTGCATGTGCGTCCCGTTCGCGCGTGTTTTTAGGGTTACGGGGCGCCGCCGCCATTGTCTGGGGACCGCGTACGCCCGGCGCGCCGTTTGTCTTACGCGGCCGCGGCCGGGTCCGTATCTCCGCGTGTTATTATTATTATTATTATTATTGTTGTTGTTGTTGTGCAGCGTGTACCGCGCGCGTTACGGATGTATAGTAATAACGTAATAATATCATAATGAAAGTTAATGAGGCCGAAATGCAGATTGCGCGGCAAGACGGTGCCGTTTTCGCTGATTAATGCGCGCCGTCCCGCCGTCCCGCCGTCCGCCGCCCCCGCCCGGTACTCGTACTGCGTATCACATCCCCCCGGGCGTCGGCCACGGAAACAACGCGCGATAATAACTTTATTACGCCGGACGGACGGGGCCGCGCGCGCGTTCCGCGGGAAATCCCCGTGCACCGTGCTGGCCTGCTTAATATAGCGTGCGTTATCTGCGGACGGTACGCGCGTTACGCGCGTGCTGTACCGACGCCGCGGTCTCCCGAGATTGTCGCGTAACGCGTGATCGCGCGCGCGCGCGCGCGTTCCGTCCGATTGCGACCGAGGAACGTTCGATTTCGGCGTTGCGGCGCACCGACGGCAGCCAGTAGCTGCCCGCCGTGCGATTTTTTTTTTCCTCCCTCTTCAAATTCAATTCAATACGCATCACAGTAATCCAATATTAAATATTCAATTCGATATAAATAATAATGTGGGCCGCGCGAGCCTTTCGCCGGTACACGGACGAATCCTCCGCGCCGGTCATAATATTCGCATCTTGTTCTTGACGACGGTTCGGCCGACAGCCGTTTTCCCACGAAACCGCATCCCCCAACATTATCGTTATTTGCTATCACTAGCCGACCCGGCCACGCAATCGCTATCGCTAGATAATAGTGTAAATAATAGTGATAACAATCATAGTTTTCTCATCCGTGACGGCCGAATCAACATCCGGGGTAACCGTCGTATGAATAAAAAAGACGTCCTAGAATTAATGGGCTCGGGCGCAGTCACCGGTATTTAATATACACCTGTAAGCAACGATAAACCGTTGTTAACGAAAAAACGATTCTGAGCGGAGTTCAGTTAGTAGTGCTGCTTCGTCAACAATATATATATGTCATATTATGGTAAAATTCCAATTATTTAATGAACAGGTGCTACACATAAGAAGTTTGTCCATAGAACGAAAAAAAAAAAATAATAAATAAACATCTCTGTAAGATCATAAGCTTCTTCGCTCCACTCAGAATATAAAATTAACACTTGCGCCGAACCGTGTTTTGGGAAGGTGAACAGGTAAAAAGTTGTACCACCTTCGTTTACAAAACAAACTCCCATACAACACTCTTAACTAATATTTCATACATACCAATTCGATAAAACTATGGTTCAGGTACCCATCAAGCATCACCCTCGACTGGCGACTACTGGTTTCGGTGCCACTGAAAATAAATACATAACAAATTAGATATTCGTACCGAAAATACCTAAAAACCTCTATTTTAATCTCTTAGTGATTGAATTACGGATGCCTACGTCATAATAACTATATGTGTGCCGAATTTCAGCCCGATCCGTTCAGCGTGATTTGGGATCTGTGATCATGAATTAGTCACGACAGTCAGTCAGGACATGTTATTTTATAGGTACATATATGTTTTGTATTTCTGGGCACAAGTCTGTAATGCATATAACAAAAAAAAAAAAAAAAAATAAAAGAAGAAGAATAACTAATAGAAATTAATCCTAATCTTAACTAATGTAATGAATGTGAAAGTAAATCTGTCTGTTACGTTTTCATGCCTAAACCGCTGAACCAATCTTGATGTGTTTTGGTACAGAGAAAATAGAACTTAAAGGAGATAAAAGGTTTTTAGATATTCTTGGCACGAAAATTAAATTAATTTTGTTCAATTATGGCCTACCTTAGTAACATAGACGAAATGAAAATTAGAAATAAAAATTCCATAATAACTATAACAACTTAAAATAACGAGTCTATCTAACTGCCTGTCGGTCTACTATTGGTTTGAAATAGGATGGGCTGCTTTGGTTTCATGAACGAAAAAAATACTATGCGCTGGGCCGGGTGAGTGAGTGAAAAGTGAAAACACGTAAAAAGTCATATTTGAAAATTGTATTCATTGGTACACGTGACGTATAGTAACAACACTACAGTAGTATTATGTTCTTATAATTTCAGAGTTATTATATTGTGGATATCTATGCGGGCATCTGTGTTAACACGAATGAAAAACCGTATGACACACTAGAAAACTTTTTGTCCGCTGACTTTAGGCTATTCACTTTCCAAATATTTGTTCGCTTAGTATACTGATACGGGCAAAGCAAAACGGGAATAAAGTTAAAAATAATAACAATTTGGCACGGACAACGCCAAGCTCGGGACAGCTAGTAATGTATAAATCTTGATACCCTTTTTTTCCACCTAAGCTAAGATATTATAGTTATTATATCATGTTGTAAATAATATTAAAACTATGTTTAGTTTCATGTTAAATTAGCTTCTAAGCATTATAGTTGTTCAGTCTGTATAATATACTTCCTGTATACAATTAATAAATTATAAATTAATATTTGTGTGATTGTTGTGATATCGTACAATGTTTTATTATTGTTTTAATGATTAGGAATGATAAGTTATATGAGATAAAATATGCATAATATACACAAAAAAATTGTTTATGTAAGAGGACGCTACCAGTTGTGTGCCCAGGAGGGGGAGGTAAGAGGTTAAACCCCCCCCCCCTCCATTGGTTTTAAAATACAAACAAATATGAGTAATCTAATATCAAAATGCATACATTTCAGCCAAGTTACGAGAAAAGCTTGATGTTTTGACTAGAAATTTGGCTTTTTTTAGGATCCAGCTTCCTTACCAATCCCCATAGTCGAGTTGGGTAGAAGACGATTTATTCTTTATTCACGATTTGTATGTATTACATCTCCTCTTATTGAAAATTCCTGGGCACGCCACTAGATGTTACACCGGTATCTACTGTGTCCATCTTACAAAATGTACGAATGAAACAGTACGTGCGGATGTGGTGTACTCTTATTATTCAATTATAAATTGATAGTACTACATATTATATGATAAATATACATTTAAAATTTTAGGACTGAATGCTATATCATGGAAACTACAGGTTTTGGGTTCAAATAATGTTATATGAAATAAATTGTATTAAAATTGTTTATTAAAATGCATTTATAAGCATACAAGTTCATTAATATGCAATTATTAAAAAATTAGCAAAATATGCAAATAGAAAACTCCAAATATAGATTTACTATAGGTTACGGTACAGAATTTTAGCTCACTTAGCTTGTAATGATAGAATACACAGATAAAAATATTCAATGTTCATAATTTATCATCCCTAGTAATGACGATAAAAAATGTACTTAATAAACAAAGTTAAACAAATTATAATACTTTTTTATTTCAAATTATTATAACACTCAAAATCATTTCATATAATTTGCTAGTTTTTTGGCGACCGTTAAAAATAAAAATAATTGAAATATCGCTTTAGTCTTTATTAAGAGTTATAAAGTGAAAATACGTCTATCAATAATATTGAAACATTATAAACTATAAAGTATAGTAAACTGAAGTATATTTAGAATGATCAGTGGACACAGTCGAATCATAATTATACTTCTGTGTATCTCGATTTATTTTATTTGTATCCTTTTATACTTTACTGTACCACTTCTTTCCATAGGTTCGCAACACTTCGATAAACGAGTGTCACACAAGAGGGTATATACGGAGGGACGGACGTTATATAATGAATCGCACTTGCAGAGAACAGGTGGCCTTTTACAAGGGGTGGTTGGTTGTTGTAACGAAGGGTCGTATACCCGTATCACCCTTCGGGCAATCCCGCAGCCTTGGCAGGTCAATTTAATAGTCATTCGTATTTTGTTAGAGTATGTTTAAAAAAAAAAAGGCTACATCCCCGAACTAAATGGTTTTTAGCCCAATCGGGATGACGGGCGCGCCAAGATTAGAACATTTGTAGTTGGTAATTCGTTTACGAATGCGCATTTTTTTTTTTGTACGTGACAGTCTAAAATAATAGATTATACCTACCTTAACGGATTAATACTATCGGAAGAGTGAACGTTTCGAATGCCGAAGTCACGGATTGGCTGAGAAAATGACGTTTGCAAAAAATTAGTTGAAAAACGATTATTTATTGGTTATTTATTCACCGCGGTCCAAGACATTTGAATAAATTAAAACTGTACGACTAACTATCATATGTTAGGTTTGTTGAGCTTCTGTTTTTACGGCGTTAAGGTACAAGTCGGTATTTAAATTAGGTACTACCTACCTACCTACCGTTTTAAATCGGAATTCAAAGACACGTCGTCTGTATGTCAGCTACGAGTTCCCATCGATAAACGTTTGTGCTTTTTTGCCGGGTCGGAAGAAATACTAAACAATGCCCGCTAAACACTACGCGCTATTTCCAAAGTTCTATTTGACGTATCCGATCAGACATCCGTCTTTACTATGATTTCGAAGTGCCGTCCATCACCGGAAAGCCGAAATTTCATTGAAAACCTAACTTTAGTCCAGTGTAAACATTTTCGAATCGACTTTATCCCGAGCAATCCGAAAAACAGAAAAAAAAAAAAGACAATTGCGTGACGGTGACCTGCTATAAGGGTTCGTCATTCTGTGGTATCTGTCGTTTATTACGTTCTATCAATATTGTTCTTATTGTTCGGCGCGTGAACACATTTACACCTTATGTTTGGTTTTTATCGCTATTATTATTTTTTTAACATTCGAATCGGTCACAAATTGACAATATCGCACCGCTCCCGCCCTCCCGGTATCGTTTTCGACTCGGCGGCGGTGTCGTTTCCGACATTTCGGGCGACCCGAACGGCCGCGGACCATCTGGTTTTCACGACGGGAACGTCGCGTCGCGCGCGCGCCGCTTATTCGGACGGCGGATTAACCGCTTATATCGGCCACGGTAACAACAATACGCACCGCCGCCGCCGCAAGTGTATCGGTCCGGATCCGGGGCGCGCACACCTACGTCCGGGGCGCGTATGCGATATTATTATGCGCGCGCGCGCTTTTCGCCCCGCGGTCTCGCACCCGTGTATGCATATCGACGGCGTCCCGCCCCGGACCGTTTATAACGAGCATCGTGTTGGGCAGCTAACATGTGTTGCGGCAGATGCACGCGGACCTTTTGTGCGGATCGCGAGCGCCCCCCACCCTCGTCCAGAGAGAGCCCGCTCCCCCTCGTCCCCCCACCCCCCGCACTTCACGCCGCGGGACCGTGGCTGCGGCACTCGACGGGGCGTGCGGGCGGGCGGGCGCGTTAATCAACCTTTTCCGCACAACATATGGAACGTTTTTCGATGCGCATATGCCGCGGCGTACATTCGAACCACCGCGGCAAGATATCCGCGGGCCCGCGGGTGGGCAACGAGGGTCGCGGGTGAGTCATACGGCCGGACGATTGGCCGGGTCGGGCGACGCGGTGTACGTAATCCACTTTCGGAGGACTCGCGAGATTCGACTCCGGCGCGATACGCAATGGATATACACGCCGCCGTAATCGCTAATTGTTCGCTATACTATTATTATGCCCCGTGCCATATGTTTCTGCGAGACGGCCGTTTGCGCGCGCGCGTAACGTTACATTTACGGTTTCGCCACTGAGGGACGGGCAACGTTCCTCTCTCCCGCCCCATCCAACCCCGTACACCTGACGAATGCAACAAGGCCCCGGAAACGGAACGCGGCCACGAAATGTACTTCGGTATTGCTCCGGCCGCTTAGCGAGCACGCGTCGTGCGTCTCCGGAACCCGAAACGGAAATCACCTGACCGTCGACACGTCGCGATACGCGGAATCGCGTCCGCCGGGTGCGGGCCGCATCGTACACGCACGGCCGTTCCGGCGACCGCTCTGACCCGGGACGTTAGACCCGGGGCCTGGTTTAGGATGGTTTGGGGGCGCGAGGCTAAAGACAAATAAGCAGAAAAACAAGTTCATCAATAAAAACACACATTGTGTGGCCCCCTTTGCGACTCTGGTAGAACGCGAAACAGAAGGCTGTAATATATTATTAAGCATTCGTAGATTTTCCCATTTTTTTTTTTTTTTTACCGGGTTTTCGAGTTTATTGAGAAAATCGAAAAATGATAAGTACCTCCCTGAGAAAATTTCCTTTCACATAAGAATCTACATCGTATACATCGGAGTAAGCTTTCTTGTAAAAAGTGTTCAAATAAAAAAAAAAAAAAAAAAAAAAAAAAAAAATAAACATCTTTGTAAAACCAATACATTCTTCGCTACACTCAGAATCTAAAATTATAATAACGATATTAATTAAATCAGTATCTAATAATCATCAATATTTTTAATAATATTAATCAACTATAATAATAATCAGCATACTTATCACAAACAGCAATAATAATAATAATAATAATCAAAAAATACCCTTATTAAATTTATAATTATGATTATTGTTGGTTATTTTATTAAAATACTGTATATGATATTTGTTGATGATCATTTTTATTCCTGAATGTTGTTATAAGTACCTATGCTTATTATTATTATAGTTGATTAATTTTATTAAAAGTATTGATGATTATTAATTATTATGATACTGATTTAATTATTATTATCAAAACGCTCATTATTATTATTATTATTATTTAAGTGATCATTATATTTACTATTACCTATTACGCTTCTTACTAAAATTTTGATTATGAATATGATTTTTAAATTGCTTATTATTATTAATATCGTCTTCACTTTAGATTCTTAGTGGAGCAAAGACGCTTATGGCTTTACAAAGATGTTTTTTTTACCTGTGCGCAACTTTTCTACCAGAAATTTTGTTCCGATTTTTTATTATAGAACCATTTTTGAAAGAAATCAGGCTGGGGAGGTGCTTCGAGCAGGTTATTTTTCGATTTTTCCAGTAGTTTCTCAAAATATGTGAAAAACGTTGTTCACAAGAAAAAAAAAAGCTCGTAATATTTCACTTTGCATTCGTACATTTTCCCGTTTTTCATCTGTTTTTTCCAATTATCGGGAAAACTTCTGGGAACATCAAAAAATGACCTCCTTAAAGTACCTGCCTAGTTAAATCGGGTAAAAATGTGTGGTAGACAAATTGTCCACAAGAAAAAAAGGCCGTAATATACTAATATATTACTATAATACAGTTATCGTATTGTTTTTTTGTACTTATTATTTTATTTTATTACCATTGTAAAATTTAACTGTTGAGCTACCATAGTTATATAACTATATACTAGTGACCAATAAAAAAATAAATAAAAACGGTTGTCAATTACAACCTTATTTTTAATCTTTCAGTTTTGTTCAATCTAAAGAACCAGGTTTTCCTTATTATCTCGAATATTTAATGTACCAACCAGAGAACATTTTCTCTCAGAAAAGTTGCTATACGTGATAATCGGAGTAAGCTTTCTGGTGAAAAAAGTGTTCACATTAAAAAAAAAAACA